TGAAAATTTCAGACCAAGGTCATTCAAGGTCAGGTCACCAGGTCACTTGAAGTGACCTCACCTCATAAAAAGTTTCAATGTCTGTCATAGCTACACCGAGTGACCGATCGCTTTGAAACTTTCAGCGATTGCTAAGAGCAATAGCATGTACAAAATGTATATCTCAGAATTTTGATATCGATGACCTAAGGTCAGGTCAATTTTGCGACCTCCCCATTATAAGTCAATGGGAGAAAATTGAAATGCGCCCCTTTTGGACGAAAGACATTATAAACACTCCCAAACACTGAATTACAAGTGGTTTAGACACACTGAACATGAAAATGGTGTCCGTGACCCCTGTTTATGCCCTGAGGTCATCTTAGGTCACGAATGGTATCTAACAGTTTTTCGCAAATAACTTTTGATAGAGGCATGCTAGAGCGATGAAAACGCCTTAGATGTGTTCAGCTCGACGATACGGATCGACTGATATGCAACATGACCCTTTCCGGTCAGGTCATGACCTTGACCTGAGGTCAAATTTTCAAGTTGACCTTTCAAGGTCAAGTTATAGTTCATTCGATGCGTCTTGACGAGAGGAACACGATGCCGGTAAAAGTAAGCTCGTACAAGGCTTGGGTCAAAAGTTATTGCAGAAAAACTGTTTCCGAAAAAATCGGCTATTTTTGCAGTTTTTGCCCCCTGCAGGCAAAACCGTTGACGGTAGGTCAAATCTGAGAGAATTACTCAGAAAGGGCGTTAATAGGGCTATCGAATGCGCTTTTCCGCGGCGCTGTAGCTCTATTGGTTCCCGAGTTATGCGTTGGCTTCTTGGAAATTTTCGACATTCGACCTGGAAATCGGCGAAATTTTGCCTTCAATGACCTCTGGTGACCTGACCTTTGACCTGACCAAAAAATTGACTGAAGTGATTTCCTCATTATTTTTGACGCTCTTTCGAACGCCGCCTTCCGCGTATCGCTACGTGGCCCAGGAGCCGAGTTAGAAGGGGGGGTGTTCAAACACCCCCCCCCCCCAGCAGGGCGTGGAAATCCAGGACCCCCAGCAGGGCGCGGGTTAAGATATTGTGGAGCAGATTTAGGTAATACTTGTTCCAATAAGCACTCACGTTCCAATAAACACTCACGTCTGAAATTCTTACGTGAGTGTTTATTGGAACAAGTATTACCTAAATCTGCTCCACAATATCTTAAGAACAAATACGCCCCTGGAATACCCCTTAGCAGCCACGCTTTACGACTTTCTAACAGGTCCCGATATTCCCGATTTTATGGTCATTGACCTGACCTGGAAGGTCAACCGATGACCTAGGACCTTAAAATTGGGTATCATTGGCTTCCTCTCGTGACGGGCAACACGCTCGTTATTTCCGCGAAGCTCTAGCTTCATCAAGGGCCAAACGCGAGGGGGGTCGTACCCCCCCCCCCTTTGTGCCGTCGAAGGACTCAAAATGGCCTGTGCCGGCGAGGGTAAAAGGTAGCTGAACAACAGATTCAATGCATCACCAGCGGACTGTGAGTGAATGCAGTTAGGAATGTTTTGGTCACACACACACAATACAATGCCATCGATCCAACCTGCGGTCGTCCATTGCTTGTCCGTACGTGCTTACTGCAGCAGCAGGTCTACACCATCAAGGGCGCACGCCATTACAAATGGGAACGAGACCAGTGGGCGGCGCGGCGCTGAATAAGGACAGTAGTCCATGGCAGTAATGATGCTTCACCCAATTGGAATGGTGCGACGCAACTGACGGACCCCGCCGGCCGTTCGGGTCCCACAGAACAGACCGATACGTGACGCACCCACGGTCCAGTCGCCAGCGACAACGCGACACCGACGGGTGGAGGCCTTCATCCGCCGCACAAGGAGTCCTCAGTTTAGTGCCAAAGCTCTCACCACCAAACGAACAAAGCAGAACAGCTGTCAGGCCGACTAAGAATGCTGCGCTGCGCGAGATCTCACCTCTGAAGTTACTCTGAGGTCACTCGGTCGTGGTGGCGATTCCGGCCGCTGTACCATGCAGGCTCGGTTGGACGGGCTGCTGTCGCTGGTGGTGCCCGCGGCCGGCGCTGACGGCGGCCGCCGACCCGCCGAGCGGCGCCTGCTGCAGCTCGGCGAGCTGGTGCTGCGCGCCATGTGCCTGGCGCTGTGCGCGCTGTTCTGCTGGCAGGCGGTGCGCCGGTTCCGCCAGCAGCAGGTGCACACCGCCGTGCTGGTGATGGAGACGGGCGTGCCCAACATCACCATCTGTCCGGCCGAGGGCGTGTCCGAGGCACAGCCAGGCGCGCACGGGCGCTGGGCCGTCGGCAACATCACCCAGGAGCAGTACGTCCGGCAGGCGGACCGGCCGCTGGCCAGCGTGCTGGCCCGCTGTTTCGCCGGGTCGCCCACCTGCTGCCTGCCGGAGTGTCCACCGGACGGGCAACGGCTCGGCCGCTGGCATGAGGTACTGGTGCCGGGACCGACGCGGCCACTGCTCTGCCACCGGCTGCAGCTCAACGACACCGACGCGACACTGGTCCACCGCAACGGCGGACTCTCGATGGACTTTTTCGCTCCGTCGTTCGGGCCGCGGTCGGGCGGCCTGTTCGAGGTACTGCCGCACGCCCTGGAGCGGCCGGTGCTGCTGTACGGTGTGGGGCCGCGCAGCGCCTCCGTCACCGCCGCGCTGGACGACGGCAAGCCGCAGCATGTGGCGCTCCGTGTCAGCACGGAGGTGATGCGCAGCGTGTCCCGCCGCCAGAGGCCGTGCCGCCACCAGCACAGCTACAGCCAGCAGAGCTGCCGGATCTCCTGCTGGCACGCGGCGGCCGCCGCCGCCGTCGGCTGCCGCGCGCTGGGCTTCGACCCGGTACCCGGTGTACCGCTGTGCGCCAACGCCTCCTCGCTGTCAGAGCTGTACGGGGCACTGTACGCGCGCAGCTGGCCGGCGACCGAGGCCAACTGTCCGTGTCCGCCCGCCTGCCACGTGGTCAAACACCACGGCGGCGAGGAGCGACGCTACTACCCGGCGGCGCCCCACCCGACCGTCACCGTGGTGCTCAGCCAGTGGACCACTGTGATGAAGGAGCAGCTGTCCACCACGGCGCAGCAGCTGGCCTCGGAGCTGGGCGGCCTGCTCGGCCTGCTGCTGGGCGTTTCCGCCTGGACGCTGGCCGCGCTGCTCTGGCGCCTGGTGAGCGCGCTGTGCGGGCCGTGCCTCGCGCCCCGGGCCGCCGCCAGCTGCGCCCGCCCACCTCCGCACTGGACGCACAGCAAGACAGTCATCACCGTCACCTGATATGGCAGGACCAAGAGTCCGCGAATGCATCCTTGTTTTTTTTTTTTTACGGAAACTCTTATTCCTGTACGTAGCACTTCGCCGACTCCCCGCGCCGGGCACAGCCGCGTGGGTAATAATGATGCACACGCCTAAGAAACAGACGCTGTTATCTATGGCCCCACAGCCGGATTTCGACTCACGAATGTGCATTACCTTAATTCAAATCACAGTAACGATTCTCCCGCGCTGGACGACGCCAAGCCGCAGCATGTGGCGCTCCGTGTAGGTATCTGATCTCGCTCGGTAGAGGTATCTGATCATGTTAGCGTAAGATGAATAGTATTCATGGCCTTTGAATACAGACAGCAGACATACCAATTTCTCCGGGCTCGCATAACAACAGCGAACGACGAGCTGGTAACATTTGAGCCGGTACATATGAGAAAAAGAAGCGCAATAAATAGAGCATGCAATCGCTGACAACAATATAGATCGATGTGGACGACAATTGTTCAGTGCAGGGGTCGGCAACCTACGGACCGCGACCATCTGACGTCTGCCCCGCGGCTGGTATCAACAACTAACCCGCGCCGGGCCGGTTGGAGGTCCCCCCCCTGAGGTTTTTTGCAGATATCTAAAAAACGGCGCCAGTTCAAGCATCTTTCTGCACATGTGAAAATTTCAGACCTATGTCATTCAGTCATGTCACTTTGAGTGACCTCACCTCATAGAAAGGTTCAATGTCTGTCATAGCTACACCGAGTGGCCGATTGCTGTGAAACTTTCATCGATTGATCAAACCAACAGTAAGTACAAAACGTATCTCTCAGAATTTTGATATCGGCGACCTAAGGCCATGTCAATTTTGCGACCTTCTGATTATAAGTCAATGGGAGAAAATTGAAATGCGTCTATTCTGGACCAACGCCATTCTAAACACTTCCAAACACCTCATGACAAGTCAACATGACATACTGAATTGGAAGATGGCACCCGTGACGGGCGGTGACCCCTCCTTATACCCCTAAGGCCATCTCAGGTCACAAATGGGGAAATGGGGTTAAACAGTTTTTCGCTTATATGATTCAAAATTTCATGGCAGTCGGGCAAATAGGTCCTAAGATACAGATCCAAACCCCAGTCACCACGAATACCGCACATTACTTCAGCGGTGACCTGTACAACCTCCAACTGACTTGTGCACGGCACCCGTCTCTACCGGTCTCTGGCGATTTGCCAAATGTGAGTCCAATCGGCCCAGCCGTTCTCGAGATCTGGAAGCGGCACCCCGCACGTGCGCACGTGCCAACGTGGTCCCAACTGACTTTTGCACGGCACCTTACTAACCAGTCCCTAACCGTGTACCAACTTTGAGCGCAATCAGTCCAACCGTTCGTGAGATCTGGAAGCCACCCCCGCACGCGCACACGTGCAGCAGCACCCCAACCGTGTGACACGAGAATGCATTGTCTAGTATTTAGGTGCCTAACCTACCTACATCACAAGTGTCAGCGTAACCGGCCTAATAGTTACCGATATATTGCAATTGTTACAAAACTGACACTCCAACCTTTTGCACGTGGCACATGCATAAGGGGTCACCCACACGAATTGGAAATCGTCCAATGCTTGGTAGAAGGAATGAAGCTACCCTACAAAAATTACCGCAAGTGGATTGGTGCAGTGGTTGCGGAGATATAAGCCTGGCAAAAGAGTCTGGTAACAAATTACACTAGACTTGCTGCAATGTGGAGGACGGAGGTGATCGGCCGCGAAAGAGGGACCTTTGAATTTCGAGGCGAGATCGCTAACCATTAGGCCACGCAACCATTGGACCGTTTTTTGTCACGTTTTTTCACGTTTTTTTTTGTCGACAGAATTGTTTGTCACGTTGCCATGGTGACGATACCGTGCGGCGCCGATGCGTCAAGCTTGCGGCGTTCGCATCCTGCCGCATCGCGCCGTACCGCAACCGTACCGGATGAAAAACGCACTCGTGTGGGGCGGCCCCACAGGGGAGCACTGCCGCTTCAACCCTATTGGCCGTAGTGTCTAACGGTGGCGGCCATATTGCGCAGACCAGGAACCGGCTGCCGCCTGTGTTGAGGAATAGGGAATTCGGGACCTCGATTTACGTTTGCGGCCGCCGCATCCGTTACGTTCAAGTTACGTAGATACGGAACCCGGCATCTTACGCAGAATTGAGTGGGGAACACGATCGTATCTTCAGAATTCCTCAAATTCACTCGCCGGACCTATATTTGCCCCGGCCGAGGGGTTGATTGAACCCACCTCGCTAATGTGCCGCTAATTTAACTAGAATTAAGCGGTAAAGTGGGTGCCAGGGTGCCAGACGGTTACGAGGGCGCCGTGAGACCGTGCAAAGGGCACTATTCTCCTAGAAGGGCGCCGAGTGATTGAAAACGCTATGTGGTCCAGGGGCGCTGAGAGGCCAGAAGGGCGCCGAACAGTCGAGGGATGCACGGTGGACAGAGACATAAGGGCGCGAGACGGTCAGGAGGGCGCCGTTAGACAATGAGAAGGGCGCAGTGCTGTCAAAAGAGCGCCATTCTCCCAGAAGGGCGCCGAGTGATTAAAAACGCTATATTATCCAGGAACCTGAGGCGGTCAGGACGCCGTTAGAGCATGCGAAGGGCGCCGTGCTCTCGAAAGGGTGCTTGTGTCATAAGACCTGTGGGTGCTTTTTCACCATTGCAGTGCATCGGCCCCCACAAAGAGATATAAAATTACACCCCTGGATATTGCTATTTCGATCAAGGACCTTCGTCGGAATAAATAACAAAAGAGTTTTTGGTCATTTGTTATCAATTGCGACGAAGATCTGTGATCGAAATATCAATATCAATATTTTTTTTTGATTATTTAGTATACTCTACGATAAAAGATCAAATGATATTAAAACTTATTATAATAATGTTCCTCGCTCAAGCGCTCAACAACATTACTTATATAAAATCAAAACGTCCGTATGTATGTATGTATGTATGTATGTAGGGGAGACCCGGGAGGTATGGGCCGGTTTTGTGAAAACGCAATTTTCTTCCAGTGGGCAGTGGCTAGACCCGGTTTTTCACTCTTAGCACGTGAAATTGCCTCTCGGCTGCAAAGTGTGCCTGATATTAGGCATCTGGGATCAACTATTTTGTCTCGAGATAACTTTCAATAAATGATGTGCTTTTTCGATTCATCAAAATACACCGGGAGGTATGGGCCGGTGCCATGTTTCATATTCTTTTCTCGACAATGAGAACAATACTCGTAGCTGCCAGCTGGTATCTACCTTGATCTCTCTTAGAGCCCAGCAACCGCATAAGCGGCCAACAGCTTACTTCATTGAGGTCGCTTGGGCACATATGTATTTTGGTAAACTCTATCATTCACCATGAAATAAAATAAATAATATTTTTCTGTTCGAATGAAATTTGAAGTTAAATTTTCAACCTTGCGCGACAAAAATAAAACTTATTGAAGATGACACTCAATGAAAGCATCTTTTTATTGATTTAGGATCAGCGGGGGTGGGTGGCCCGAACCTCCCGGTTAGGACGCCAGAATTTGCATAGCATCTCAGCCCATACTCTTGCAAGAAAGCTTCAAATTGTCTATCCAGTCTTAATTTGCATGCTTTAAACTTTATGTTAGCATTGGTCTGACATCATAAAACGAGCCTGTTTCAAATTTATCACGAATTTTCTGTATGTACAGTATTTTACTCGAAGAGGGCAAAAACGCTTTATCACCGCTCATCGCCAAAGAAGACTGAGGAGGATTTTGAAAATCACATGGGTTGTATAACGGAATGGCTGCTACCAGTTTACACGGTCAAATGTGTAAAAATACGCAACACTTCTTCAAAACTGCGATGGCCCATACCTCCAGGGGGCCCATACCTCCCGGGTCTCCCCTATGTATGTGACGCGTCAGTCACGCTTGGCGGGCTATTGATCCGGAACTGCGAGCTACGGGGGTGAAATTTTGAACGTAAGTCGGACGCGTGCATCTGTTTGTCGTATCAACTTTTCGAGGGGTGCGTGCAGCGGTGTGCACGTGGCGGGCGCATCTTTGCGGGATTTTGGGCCGCGGCCGTCGCCGATCAGAGAGCACGCGCATTAGCCTCAGTTTCTTCGCTTGATTAACTGAGCGAAATCAGAGCCGGCAGGTCGTTGACCTTTGGCAATGAATACCGGAACAGAGCACCGCCGGCCAAGAGAAGACACCAAATTTATTCTAGCCATAACTCGGCCGCTACTGGGCCGATTTTAAAGAAAATTAATTTATTACGCTGCGTGTAATGCTGTCCCTCTAGTTACTCTTATAAAAATCAAAATGTCCGTATGTAACGCGTCAGTCACGCTTGGCGGGCTATTGCTCCGGAACGGTGCGGGCTACGTGGGTGAAATTTTCGACGTAAGTCGGACGCGTGCATCTGTTTGTCGTATCAACTTTTCGAGGGGGTGCGTGCAGCGGTGTGCACGTGGCAGGCGCATCTTTGCGGGAATTTGGGCCGCGGCCGGCGCCGAGCAGTTAGCACGTGCCGTAGGCTCAGTTTCTTCGCTTGCAAAACTGAGCGAAATCAGAGCCGGCGGGTCACTGACCTTTGGCAATGAATACCGGAACAGAGCACCGCCGGCCAAGAGGAGACGCAACATTTATTCTGGCATTAACTCGGCCGCTACTGGGCCGATTTTAATGAAAATTGATTCATTACGCTGCGCGTAATGCTGGACACCTAGTTAAACATAAAAAATGGCATTTCTTGAGGCACCTATCAACTTACCGATCACTGATGACTGCGAAGAGCACGGCCGGCCAGCCGACAAGTTATCTGAAATATTCAGGGTTTGGTGTTTGTATATCTGTTCATGAACAGTTCGTGAACAATATATGTTTGTTTGTTTATTTGATAGTTTACGAATTTTGACATTCAAGGTCACATGTTCACCAACGATTCTCTGTTCACGAACAGTTCGTGAACGTTCATGAACGTTCATGAACAAGTCATCATTTCTGATATCTCTCGAGCAATTGCTGTGTAGTTTCTGTATGTATTTCCACACGGTCGCTCACCCACCACGGGCTATCGCCGACCTCACACTGCCGCGGCCCGCGGCTCCCGTCCACCGCGTGTCGCCGCCGGGGAGACACATGGCCGGCACATGGGCCCGCGTCGGCCGAGTCCGACCCCAGCCCCGTCCACCCAGCCCGGGTCCGGGCCAGACCGATACAGTTACACACCCCCCTGATCTACAAGATCACAAATCCATAATCAACACACAAAAATACACATAACATGACACAACATAACAAGGCGAGTACCTAATAATACACCGGTGTTCCATAGCGCTGTGCCGGCCGACTCTCCCGCTCGGTGCGCCGCAGGGTTCGTGGTGCAACGACTCCTGGTCCATCGTCATTGGAAGCATCATTAGCACGAGTGCATTCAGTGCGAGGCGTGACATCAGACATGACACTCATTACGGGGCCAGGACTAGAATCAGCATTATGTGGCTGCGCGGATACGAAAAGTGGCAGCTCATTTTCGGCACCCTCTGTGTCGTCAACCAAACAGTTATCGCTCACGTTGACGGTGCGATGTCGCAGGTTTCTAACATGATGAGGGGTGCCATCAACTACTACTACCTGTGGAGAAACTACTGAGGACACGACACCAGGTTCAGACACGTCCGTGCATCGCGTGCCACGGCGCCTGACCCACACAGCGTCACCAGGGGCGAACTCGCCCGTCCCGCGCGGCACCGCCGGCTCCGAGCCGTCCGATCCCTCGCGGCCATTCCCACGGCCGTCCGTTCCCTGGCTGCGCCCTTGACCGTCACTGTCACCGACCGGCAGCTGGCGACCAGCTGACCCGACACAGTCGCGCACTGTGTAGCGATAAATCCGACCGACGGGGGCATCACTGGCGCTGTCGCTGTCGCGGGGCGACACATTGTAAAGATGCACGGCCTCTGAGATTGAGCATTGCTTTCGAGCGGCAATAACCTTAACTGTCCGGTGATGCCGTTCAACAATACCGTTACCGCCCGGCTCGTATGCTGCTCGGAACCGCAAAACCACGCCCCATTTCGCCGCGAACGCCGCAAAATGTCGTCCACGAAACACAGTGTCATTATCACATAGAATCTCGCATGGCGCTCCACGTTCGCATAATATCGCTTCCAGATGCGACACAACATTTTCCGCGTCCGGCCGACGCAACTGCCGCCACAAACCGAAACGAGACGGACCGCAATCGATCACTGTCAGGTACGACTGGTGCTGGTAGTGGGTGACGTCGATGGCCAGCCGTTGCCACGTCTCCGGTACCTCCAGCGATCCGTGACGCCAGGTGACCGGTGCCGGATCGATTGAGCGGCAGACATCACAGTGATGCACAACAGCACGCGCCTGAGACCGAGTAATGGTAGGAGCGATGTCACGACGGGCGAAATACCAGGTGCGGCGAATCCCTGGGTGACCGGCGCGCTCGTGCAGCTCAGCAATAGAGGCGTCCACTGTTGCCCCGGTCGCCACCGCCGCTTCTGTGCCGGCGGCCACCGCCGCGCCGACCACCGCGGTCGCACCCGTGTCGGCGGCCACAGCCGTGCCGACTGCCGCTTCCGTGTCGGCGGCCACCGCCGTGCCGACTGCCGCTCCCGTGTCGGCGGCCACCGCCGTGCCGACTGCCGCTCCCGTGTCGGCGGCCACCGCCGTGCCGACTGCCGCGGGCCCTGATGCGTCATGCCTCAGCCACTCTTTCGGAACCCGTGTCAGGGCGTCTGCGCGATTTTCATCTGACCTGACCAGGGTCACTGTCAGCACGAGACCCATTTCTTCCACCAGCTGGCGAATAAGGTCGACACGCCGCCGGATTAACATCTCGCCGTGTGCCTTAGTGCGGAGCCGGGCTCGCCCACTCAGAGCGTCGTCAATCCAGCGGTGGACGGTGGCGGAGTCGGTCCTCAGCTCGATGGTTTTCATTCCCCATGCGATGGCTAGGTTGATACCCTTCACAGCAGCATCCAGTTCAGCCATGTTTATGTGGGTAGAAGCAGCAGCTTCACGCCTCAGCCAGCAGGCATCCTCCACAGGGCCACCGTCTGCGGTCTCCAAAACAACGCCTGCGGCCAGCGAGCTGGCATCCGTCCACACCACGGCCGCGTCACCTGAGACACACCACACGCCGTGCGCCGGATCGTCACTGTTCACCCGTTCAGCCACATGATCGACCTGCGCCTGCAGCGTACGGTCCGCTGTCATGTCGTCCCAGCCGCGTGTCACAGCATTAGCACGGCGTTTGAGCCAGGCTGTAGCGGGACGCAGCCACCCACAGACCGGGAGGTGGGCCACCAGGCGACCGCACCAAGCAAACACACTGCGGCGGGTCAGCGGGCTGGGCGGGGGGCCGACAGGGTTGTCTCGCTCCCAGTGCAGCTCGTCACGCAGTGGGCGAACTCGCAGTCCGAGCAGCCGCGCACCATCAGACACACGCTCAGGGGCCTTGCACTCGAGTCCATACCTGGCGAAATGACTGACAACCCGCTCCGCGCTCGCAATGTCCTCATCTACCAGCAAGTCATCCACATATGAGAGCACTGCACGCTGGATTTCAGGGTCCTGTGCCAGCACAGCACTGACGACCGCCTTCATGACTAGCGGCCCTAGGCTGAGTCCAAATCCTAGCCTCCCCAGATAGAAGCGCTGGCCACGAATCTCAACCGTTTGATACGGCCATAGACTTTCGTCGAGATGGATCTGAAGGTACGCCTTTTTGAGGTCAACGACCGCCACGTTTCTGCCGTGACGCCGCCACTTCCTCAGCTGATCGGCGCAGACATCTGCTTCAGCGGTGTGGGCGTTTAGGTGGCTGTTTAACTCCCGATAGTCCAGCACCGGCCTCACTTTCTCCTTATTCTTCTGTTGTACAGCCATCAGCGGTACGAGCCCTCGCGGTGGGCCGAGCCGCTGCTCGTCGTATGGCAGCAGCCAGCCGTTGCTGATCCATGTGTCCAGCTCCGTGTCAAATTCGTAGCGGGCGGACCGTGGCACGGAGTACTGGGGCACAGAGTTTTCCAGGCACTCAGGGCCAGAGTTGTCCGCCCACTTCCAAGCCACAGTCCACTTTCGCTCTGCCGAGTCGAACCGCACACTAAAGTCCGGCGCGTCAACTTCGAGTGGTGCACGGGCAGCGGCTCCACAGAAGCGGACTTGAGACGGTGACTGCACACTGACACCCCCCAGGCTAGAGATGCCAGACATGCCGATAATTAGTTCCACTCCCAGGGGCCGCTCGCTCACCACCAGCACACTCACTCGGGCCCGCTGCCCGGTCACAGTCACCACGTCAGCACTGCCCGAGCCAGTGCATTGAAACTCGTCACCGCTCATCGTCGTCACCGAGACAGGTCCACGCTGCCATTGTTCGCAGAACGGTGCATAAATGATGTTATCGGTGCAGCCGGTGTCGATTAGCGCTCGGCAGTCTCGCCCGTTGACTAGCAGTTGCACGACTGGCAGAGCGCCGCTCAGTGCTGCACGCGAGAGGACGCCGGCGCTGACTCGTCCTCTCCTCCGTCGTTTCCCGCAGCTCGGCGGGGGCATGAGAAGGACATATGGCCTATATCACCGCATGCCCAGCAGCGCCGCGGCCGGCTGGCCCGGCGCGACGGTCCCTCCTGCGCTGACAGCCGCTGACGGGAGAGGGCGGGGGCGAGGGGTGCCGGCCCGGCCGCCGCCGCCGCCGCCGCCGCCGCCACGCGCTCGTCGCTGAGCACAGCTCTGGCGCGCGCCAGCACACTGGCAAGGTCGAGCCCTTCCGCTCTAGACCCAGCCCGCACCATCTGCCGAACAGACTCGGGCAGACCTGCTACAAAAGCGCAGGTCAGCGCACGCTCCGGTACGCCACCAAACAGCTGTGCCAGCCGCTGAAGGTCCGCCAGAAACACATCGGCTGACTCTCCACTGCGGAGTCTTCGGGTGGTGAAGGCCTCGTATGCTGCATGCTGATCAAGCGCAAAAGCCTGGTACAGGCCTGCGCGTATGGCCGCCAAACTGCCACGGCTTTCGTCCGGCAGCTGCGCCCACACGGCGAAGGCTCCGCCGGTCAACCGGAGTGGGATGATCGCTGCTGCATCCACTCCGCGGTGCTGGCAGAGCAGCTCCGCTCTGCCCAGCCATTCGACCACATCGCCGGTCCCATCGAATTCGGCGATCACACGCGCGTCGAATGCGACACTGGGCGCCACCACCACGGTCTGTCCACTCGAGTCCACTCCTTTCACGTCTACAGTCCCACTGCCGGTCTTGTTGGCCATTTTTCGCAATGCCGAAATAGCTTGTAGTTTCTGTATGTATTTCCACACGGTCGCTCACCCACCACGGGCTATCGCCGACCTCACACTGCCGCGGCCCGCGGCTCCCGTCCACCGCGTGTCGCCGCCGGGGAGACACATGGCCGGCACATGGGCCCGCGTCGGCCGAGTCCGACCCCAGCCCCGTCCACCCAGCCCGGGTCCGGGCCAGACCGATACAGTTACATGCTGCTATACGGTGCTGCTATACGGAGCAATACGGTGCTGACATGACTGCAGGCGTATTCTACATGTGAAAAAATGCACCAGTCATATCTCAACTGCACATGGAATCGTGATTCATAATTATTCTTGCAACGCTGAGGCTTAGATTGTGCATCTAAGACCTTACATGACGTCATATAAGACGCCACTAAGGTTTTTTGGTGCAGTAGGAGCTTTTCGCTAATAACTTCCGATCAAATTGAGCTAGCGAATCGGTTGAGCCATCACTTGACTCAGAAAGAACTGCCACATCGAATGATATGCAACATGACATCCTCCATGCAGCTTTGTGACCCGAGTGGCTTTGACCTGACCTTGACCTGAGGTCAACATCCTAAAAAGACCTAATCAAAACAGATAGTGTATCATTCGACGCGCCTGGCCACGACGAGCACGATGGTGCCAAAATCGCGGCTCTGCCACCATTTGTGGCGAAGTTATTCACCAAAAACCAAACCCCTACTTTATGACACTTGACCTGACCTCAGGGGTCACCGGTTGGTGTAAGACCTTGAAATCGGATACCAATCGCTGTGGTTCGCAGACGCACACGCTGGCTTTTTCCGCAAGGTTCTATCTAAATTAGGAGCGAAATGGCTAAGTCTTACCTACCCCCTCTTTACCGTGTTCGCGAACAGTTCATGAACGTTCGCGAACTATTCGTTGTTTGTTTACCAAAATTTGACCGATGACGTCACTTGTTCGCGAACACATTTGTTCGTGAACAGTTTGTTTATGTTTGTTTATTTGCAAGATTAAATAAACACCAAACCCTGGGAATATTACTTGAATCAAGTTTTTTTTTTTAAATCGGAGGATCTACCTACGACTTCAAATCTGGAGAATACTTTGGATTCATTCTCTGAACCTGACCGGAAGCTGGTGACAAATTGAATTATTTCGCCACTAATATAAGATCAACTCTGGCTATTAAAATTCTTCAAATGACTGCTGGCAATAATTTTCACCTTACTTATTGCAGATGTGCCGATAAGTTGTGATTCTGAAAATATCTCATTTTGGCACGATTGTCTCGAGACATTTGCAGATTCCGTCATTCGCCACGGTCCGGTTTCTCAGTGCAGCACGGTTCCTCAATGGACAGTGGACGGTGCGGTCTATCTCTCTTAGTGGTCCAGTAGCGAATTCCATCCATCAGCTCCATGTATTCCGCGCTGTTAGGGACCCTCCCTAATCCTGTCCCATGATTGGATGGAGGCAGCGCGACCGCAGCACACCAGAACGATGGCCGCGTCATCGGTGGGGCGTCTGCTCGGTCGCCAGTAACATCATCGCCTAACGCCAAACACGGCGCCAATCAGGGGCATCGGACCGACGTATGTGGGATTGGGACGTGGAACGATGGAGGCGAACAATGGGCACAGCTGCCGGACATTGGTCACGTGACCACATTTTCCGTTTGACCTTGAGTTGGCACCAGATTTTGTCGACAGATGTGGCGCAGCTTATTTTACTGCAATATTTTAGATACTAAACATTTAGACGTGTGGTAGCAAATGATAACGCGCAAATAATATTGAATCATCGGTGACATAGTTACCATTGAAACTCGAATAGCATCAATAAAATACAATTAAACTATTATTACTCTTCCATTGAGTTTATTGTGTTTGCAGGTATAGGTAGAAACTGAAGAGTTGAGCATGCAGCTTACAGTTGTTCTAATTTCTATAACTCTTAATGCATAAATCAAGGCTACTGAGGGCTGCAAATTTGTTTCACTTACCTCTAATAGCTTTTACCCTACCTTCATTAACCATTATCTGTAAGAATCTTGCATCAATCATCCCCAGACTTATGAGTTTTTTTTACATGCCTACGCCCCGGCCGCGAGAGTGGGCGGGTACGACTCCCTCGCCCTAATTGAGCTAGCCTCGCGGGAAAAACAAACATGTGTGCCGTTACGGGACCGGGGACGCAGCGATTGATGCACGGTTTAAAAGTCTCAGGTCAACTGGTGGCCTCTGAGGGTCAGGTCAAGTGCCCCGAGGGCCAAAATACGATTTCGGGTTTTTAGAAATAACTTTGCCAAAAAACGGCGCAGAGTTGCGATTTTAGTACCATCATGTTTGTCATGCTCCGGTGCGTCAAATGGTGCACTTTTGTTTGGGTGGGGTCAACATAAGGTGTTCACATCGGATCAAAGTCAGGTCAGAGGCACTCAGGTCACGAAGTTGGTCGGAGGAGGTTATATCGTATATCATTCGATTCGATAGGCTTCCCGAGTCCATTGGCGACTTTTCCGACTTACCAGTTCAAATTTATCAGGAGTTATTGACGAAAAAACTTGTGACCTATGACGTCACGCTAGGTTAAAGATGCAATAGTGAAGCATTGGGTATTGCAAGAAGTGCATGACATTGCGATTCCATGTGCTTGAGCTAGGTTTAGATCATTCTCGGCGTCAAAATTACAGTTTCCATATTTTCCCCATTGACTTGTAATGGTGACGTCACGCGATCGGCCTGACCTCATGTGACCTCTAGGAGAAATCCGAGATATACAAGTTTTGAGACTTCTAGAGGATACTAGGTCCTGTAAGTATCATCTCGCTGTGACAGCTCCTCTGGCACCGAAGGCATTGCGAAGTTTCGGTATTTTGGGACTATTGCAGAGGTTCACGTGTGACGTCATAAGTCAGTAATCTGACCTGAGGCGGAAATGCAATTGGTTTCCAAAGATGCGTATGGAAGCAAAGATAAGGTGTGCCAAATAGCAGCCCTCTAGCTGTAAGGTGTTTTGAGCTATCGCCAAAAGTCGTGAGTGGAGCGCTACTGACTCCTCCGGTCGGCCGCCGGGGGTTAGGAGGCGTGCAGCGTATCGGAAAACCACCTGGTATTAAGCGAATTTTGCCGATAAAAATAAGTTTCTTATGCCGACTTATAGCCAAAAGACGACTGATTCTCAAACCAGTCGTATCCTTGCACTAAATGGCTTGGTTTAGACACGATAGGTCTGAAAAGAAAAGGCCCCATGTATTCTCTATGGGCGCCGCGAGGCCTTTGGCACCAGAGTTTCGGGAAGTGCCCTCGCCACAACCGCACGTGCAGATTTGGTCACGTGACCAAGCGCATTTGCCGCCACTGTATTTATAAAATTGTATTAAATTGTATTAAAATTGTAAATTATTTTGAAAAGCTCTCGTCCCTTAAGCCCTCGTAGCGGGGTTGGGGGACCACCCCCAGCCTTAGATAATGCTCTTGATAGCAATTTTCATTGACATTATTGGGACATGCCGATTTCGGCATATTTCAAAGCCAGATCGTGGTATGTCGCAAATTTTCCACTGAGTACGTGTAAAATGAAATGAGCATTTGCTTCCTAATCAATTACTACTGGACTTGCGCACGTGCAGGATGCATTTCTACAGCTACAGATTACAGAATGACTGGACCGATTCTGCCTACTCAAATTTAGTGTATCGTTGTTGGCCTGTTTAGAGGACGCCCAGCTCAAGTAAATTAGCGTGTTAGTTTGCTCGTGCGCACGTGCAAGGACAGCGGCGTGTGAATTATTTTCTGACTGGAGAAAGGGGGGGGGCGGCTCATTTGAGATTTACCGGTGTCGTTTGTAAAATACAGATCAACATAGGGAACCCGTAAGTCTACTTCGCTGGCCGGTTTAAGGCTATTTTTCACCCATTTCACTGATACTTGAAAAAAGCATTTGCCAAAAAAAATAACTTTTTCCGTCTCAGCTGAGTCAAGAAATAACCTTTGTGGTAACTTGAAACAAGGGATAGGGGAGACCAAGGCAAAGCGACCACCCTGACGCTAGTTTTCATGCCGACGC